CGAGCGTTTTTCTTCCGTCGGGTCATGTGGGTGCGCTTGTTTGGGCCTTTTACCAAGCTAGCAAGGGCGTGGGAGGGTTGCGAGCATCATCGGTCATCGGCGCTCGCGAATTAAGAGCGCCCGCTGCACTTCCGGCACGTGTGCGGATCCTTCCGCGTTTTGGGGCTGGAAGAGCTCGTTCCGAGCGTTTTTCTTCTGTCGGGTCACGTGGCTGCGCTTGTCTGGGACTATTACCAAGCCAGCAAGGGAGTGGGAGGGTTGCAAGCATCATCGTTCATCAACGCTCGCGAATGAAGAGCGTCCGCTGCACTTCCTGCACATGTGCGGATCCTTCCGCAGTTTTGTGGTGGAATCGCTCGTTCCGAGCGTTTTTCTTCCGCCGGGTCACGTGGGTGCGCTTGTCTGGGCCTATTACCAAGCGAGCAAGGGCGTGGGAGGGTTGCAAGCATCATCGATCATCGGCACTCGCGAATGAAGAGCGCCCGCTGCACTTCCTGCATATGTGCGGATCCTTCCGCGTTTTGGGGCTGGAAGCGCTCGTTCCAAGCGTTTGCCAGCAAGGGCGTGGGAGGGTTGCGAGCATCATCGGTCATCGGCGCTCGCGAATGAAGAGCGTCCGCTGCACTTCCTGCACATGTGCGGATCTTCCGCGTTTTGGGGCTAGAAGCGCTCGTTCCGAGCATATTTCTTCCGCCGGGTCACGTGGCTGCACTTCTCTGGGCCTATTACCAAGCCAGCAAGGGCGTGGGAGGGTTGGGAGCATCATCGGTCATCGGCGCTCGCGAATGAAGAGCGCCCACTGCACTTTCTGCACATGTGTGGATCCTTCCGCGTTTTTGTGGTGGAAGCGCTCGTTCCGAGCGTTTTTCTTCCGCCGGGTCACGTGGCTGCGCTTGTCTGGGCCTATTACCAAGCCAGCAAGGGCGTGGGAGGGTTGCGAGCATCATCGGTCATCGGTGCTCGCGAATGAAGAGCGTCCGCTGCACTTCTTGCACGTGTGCGAATGCTTCCGCGTTTTGGGGCTGGAAGCGCTCGTTCTGAGAGCTTTTCTTCCGCCGGGTCACGTGGCTGCGCTTGTTGGCCCTATTACCAAGCCAGCAAGGGCGTGGGAGGGTTGCGAGCATCATCGGTCATCGGCGCTCGCGAATGAAGAGCGCGCGCTGCACTTCCTGCACGTGTGCGAATCCTTCCGCGCTTTGGGGCTGGAAGCGCTAATTCCGAGCGTTTTTCTTCCGCCGGGTCACGTGGCTGCGCCTGTCTCGGCCTATTACCAAGCCAGCAAGGGCGTGGGAGGGTTGCGAGCATCATCGGTCATTGGCGCTCGCGAATGACGAGCGCTCGCTGCACTTCCTTCACGTGTGCGGATCCTTCCGCGTTTTGGGGCTGGAAGCGCTCGTTCCGAGATTTTTTCTTCCGCCGGGTCACGTGGCTGCACTTGTCTGAGCCTATTATCAAGCCAGCAAGGGCGTGGGAGGGTTGCAAGCATCATCGGTCATCGGCGCTCGCGAATGAAGAGCGCCCGCTGCACATCCTGCACATGTGCGGATCCTTCCGCGTTTTGGGGGTGTAAGCGCTCGTTCCAAGCGATTTTCTTTCGCCGGGTCACGTGGCTGCGCTTGTCTGGGCCTCTTACCAAGCCAGCAAGGGCGTGGGTGGGTTGCGGGCTTCTGGGCTACAACTTGACGAAAGCACCGACAAGCGGCGCGGGAAACATCTCGTCGTGTACATCACGTTCCTTCGGCACGGGGTTGTCGTCACGAAGTTCTTCGCCAACTTGTCCGTCGACAAGTGTGACGCGGCGTCTCTACTGGCGGTCTTGCCGACTCACCTTAAAGGGAATGGAGTGGAGCTCATGCGGTTTCTTGGCATTTCCACTGACGGAGCTAGCGTGATGACGGGCGGTAAAACCGGTTTGGTGGCACGGTTGCGTACAAGAGTACCTCACTTGGTCTCATGTCATTGTATCACACAGAGGTATTCATTGACTAACGGTAACCGTGTTTACTTGTGCTTTTATGTTGCAAGATGATGTACGGACTTTCCTGTTGTTTATCGGCAGGGAGGCTTTAGCCGCGAAAGATGCAGCCACTGCTTTCCCAGACTTCAGGATCATCAATAAAGTCGTGCGTCATGTCGCAGATCTCCTCGGCCGATCGAGCCCGAAGCATGCGCAATTCATGCAGCTGCAAGAGGTGGTAATGGAAACCAACCTCGAGATGCAGGGAATTCACAGTCTCAGGTGGCACTCCCGTGGTGACGCCATTGAACGATTCGCGGAGGTGCTCCCTGTAGTGGTCATGCTCCTGTACGAGTACGACAAGAAGACGTACGACATCGTCACCAGCTTTTAAGTTCCAGATCCCTTGCGATTGTGCTGAAGGAGCTGAACATCCTCAACCTGAAGTTTCAGAGGCGTCAGGTAAGGACTGCTAAACAGTTCCTTCTGGTGTCTTACCTCTACCATGTTCTAATCGGATTCCTTGTTTTAATTTGTCCCTCCCTTAAAACATGTTGATGTGACGGTCGTTCAACCGGCCCTTCACTGTAAACACCCTCAGTGGCCATTGCGTCGACTACAAGGAGACTTTCGGAGACAACAGCGGCAGGCTGGCAAAGTTCCTGAAAGCACATTCTAACATATAGAAGCGCGAGGTGAAAGTGGAAGGTGTTGATTTAGACGGCATGCCCACCACCCACACGTATGAGCTGCACGAAAAGCACCTGGAGGGGCGGACCAGCTGATCGGACCTGCATGCGTGCATCAAACTCGCCAGACAGTTTGCCAACGAAGTCATCTTCAACCTCACCGATCGGATGAAGGACCTCTCGGCGCTCGTCTGTTCCGTCAGAGTGCTTATCCTAGCTCTCGGGCGAAGCGCGAAAGCAGGTTTCCTCTGTAGTTTCAGGCACTGAGGGATATGTTCAAGAAAGAGCCGGGCGATCCTGACACACTTCCGGGTGGGTTAGAGTCGTGCCAATCTGTAATGTTGACATTGAGCTACGTCTAATTTCTCTCCTTTGTGTCTTACTCTACCCCACCATTTGGATCAACAGGCATCCACTCGGGCAAGGCTGTGGAGCTTCACCAGCATCCTCGCAACCCACCATGAGGACCTCTCTTTCCACGACAGCTTGAAGCACATGCTTGCGAGCGACGATTGGACCACAGCCTACCTGAACCTCATGAGGCTGTGGATGGCAGTGGTCGTACCCCCGCTCAGAACAGTGGAGTGCGAGCGGGGGTTTAGCCGGCAGAACGTGATTAAGAGTTGGATGCGCAGCAACCTTTGCGATGCAACTCTCGGGGAATTGATGACGGTGTCGTTGCTTGATTACGAGATGGAGCCGCAGGGGGATCATGTCAGTGTGGCACGGGAGCAAGAAGCGCCGGCCAGCTAAGGGGGTGGTGATGGCACAGGCAGGGCGCGCTGTGAAGCGAGCAAAGTGTGCAACAGCAGCGGCTCAAGCAGCAGCAGCCGCAGCATCGAAAGCAGCAGCAACCGCAGCTTCAAGAGCTGCGCGTGAAGCAGAGGCGGCTGCGGCGAGGGAGAGAGAAGAAGTAGTCGCCGAGGAGGAATGCATCCCCGCGTGGAGAAGGAAGAAGCGTCAGTCGTAGCATCAGAGGATGAAAACGAGGATGCGTGCTCTGTTAGTTCTAGTGAATCTGATAGTGAGACTGAGTAGGTTTGTAACTTCTAACGTTATAGTGTTTGCTTCAGACTATAAATTATAATTTGTCTGAAAAAACAGACTAGTCGAACCACTTTCGTCTGAAATGTCAGACTGCGCTAACAAATCCGTCTGATGGTCAGACTAAGGCTAGCAACGTCCCTGCTGGGTGCCCATGGCCAACATTGAAAACCACCCTGCCCTGCAAGTGTACCTGAGGAGTCGGGGTTTCCGCGATATACACGCGCTCGTGTAGCAGAGGGGGCTTCTTGAGGGGGGGGTAGTGTAAGGAATTTTCTCGACATTCCTTGTCGCGACCATCAACATCGCGTACAGCAGCAGCCGTTGTTCGCCCGTTAGTGCTAATGGGGCTTCGCCAACTTCGTGCGCACTGTTTTACCAAACCATGCACCGCTGGCCTGGCCGAGTCGGCCTACGCTTCTGGACTAGCCCGAACCTCGATGCCAGCCTAGCACTAGCTAGCTCGCACGCACCGCGTAACCGTTGCATGTTTTCGCACATAAGTATTCGCTCATGCCTTCGCTCATTTTTTGTACTTTTAACCCACACAGTGCAATCCTCGCTACCTCGTTCCATTGCACCCGTAACACATGTTCAAGTCCTACTGAAACGCAACTTCTGCTTTATAACGAGAGAGTTCATACAGTACAAGAAGGCTCAACTCCTCCTTGCTCCCCAATTGGTCCATTCGGTTCAACTTCCACGCGTCCAATCCGCTTGTCACGAATTGTCAAGCCTGTTGGATTTGCTCCACCCGCTCCGTGTCGCAAACGCATAACCCTTCGTGTAGAGTTCGCAAGAACTTCGTATGCGGGAAAGTTTGAAATCGCAGCAATTCGTCCAATGGTTCGCAACGCAATCGCCCGAAGCATGCAGCCTGCGCTGCATCACAACCACCAGTCGATCAGCTCTCCAATCCAAACCATTGCCCACCACGAAGCCCTCCCTTCCTGCAAAAGTCCACCACCTTGGGAGTACCGACTGGGGGAACAGCGCAGGGGTTGGGAGTGAGAGCGAGGCAGGTCCATGTGCGTGGGAGCTGGCAAGTGCAAAGCAAATCAGTGCTGCAAAATCGCAGAGATCAGGTCAGGGAGGGAAGTCCCTGGTGTACACCAGGCTCTCTTCAGGTTCAGGGCATCAATTCACCGTGCGTCCAGTTCGTCTACGCTGTTCCCCGGTTTGAGTGGTCTGATCCTATCTGCCTCTCCACCGTGCGATCCTTTCCTCGATCAACGGCCCTAGACACTTCTTCTGCGTGCCACTACTCCGCTCGTCTGCCATTCCTTTTCCCCTCTCTCCGCTCCCCCGCAATGACAGCTCCACCTGCCGTCAAGCTCACGCGCCCTCCACTCCTCGTCGGCTCGCCGCACCGCGTATCACCAAACCCTCGTCTGCGCTCCTTGCCAACTCCAAAATCACGAAGTCCCCACGCGCTCTCGCCATGCCACCATTCCTCCATCTCCTCCCTTTCCGCCCTCTCCTCGCTCTCCGCCTTTCACTCCCCAAGTTCCCTAGATCCTCCCCGCTCGGACGTCCTCTCCCGTTCCGGCCAACCTTCTCGCGCTCGTTGCTTAAGAGCGTCGAGCCGCACGTCAATCCGCGCAGCGTGGGGATCAGATCGACGCGCCGACGGCAGCGCGGGAAGCGCAAGTAGCTCGAGTAGCGCATCGTCTCGCCATCGCCGGCCAGGAACCGTCTCCGCAAATGGCGAGGCCGCGACGAACTTCGCCGAAACGTCCGCGACAGTTACTGGCGTCGTGCCGGCCCGGCGGGTATTCCGCGGGGAAGCGGACAGGGAAAGCGCGCAAAGGCTGCGGGAAGAGCAATTGCGCGAGCGCGCGCTGCGGATAAACGGGTTCCTGGAGAGAGACGCCGAGGCGCTAGTGGTGCGAGAGGCGCGGCCCGAGGAGTACTGGGAGGCTGCTGACGTGCACTGCGCTGCGTTCTTCCCGCACGCGCCCTTCCCGCTAAATTATATTCTGCGAATGGATAGGTAGCCAATGCGTTCTGCTGCTGCCCCCCACACACGCGCCCTATCACCTGCACCCCTTCCTCCCTCCCACTTTCTCCTTTTTCCTTACCCACACCTCCCTACCCTTCCTTTCCCCTCTTCCCTCTCCTCGTCCCCCCATTGTAGCCCCTCCATTATCCCACTTCCCCTGCCGTCTTCTGCGGTTTCTCTGGCTATCGCTCCCTTCACCTCATGCCCTGCGCACAAAATCCTTCTGCCCCTCTCCAATGCGAATTCCGTCTCAGGGTCTCGGCGATCCTGGCTAATCTCAGCATGCCACGTGGCACCTACAAGAAGTGCCTAGTAGCCTTTGACTCGCCGGCGTTCGTCCAATCCCTCTCTTCTTCCTTCGCCCTCACAACTGCTTCCCCCCCCTCCTCCTCCGCCTCCGCCTCCCCTTCCCCCTCCTCCTCCGCCTCCGCCTCCCCCTCCACCACCACCGCCACAATCGCGCCCGTGACCAAAACCCGCGCGCCACCCCCTGAACACGCGGCGTCAGCAGCGATCAAGGACTTTGATGGCGAGCGGGACTTAATCGGCGGGCCAATGTTCCGCCCAGTGCTCGCAACCATGCTGCTGGGCCCGCCCGTGCTCTCCTGGACCTTCTCGGGGCTCAACGTGGGGCCCAGGGGGCTCGTGGGGTCTGTTACTGTTGACACGGCTGGGGAGTTTCTGCCCCGCCGCAAGCCACACAACAGGCGCCGGTCAGTGGGTGATGGGTGGCGTGCGAGGAAGGGAGGAAGGGAGAGAAGGGGGGTGAGGGGGGAAGGGAAGCGAGAATGGGGAGAATGAGAGAAGATGGTTATGGATTGATTAATTGCGGTCAAAAGGTGCGATGAGGTTGAACCATAGCATGGCATGGCATGGCATGGCATGGCATGGGACAGAGTTGCGTGTCGTTGCTGCCAGCTGTACCATGAGTGCCGCTGCTGCTGCTGCCATGCCAATGGAAAGAGTGCTTGCTTCCCTCACTTAACCAAAGAAAGTTCAACCCCTGTGCTCCCTCCCTCCTTCCCTCCCTCCCTCTTTCTCCTCCTCCTCCTCCTCCTCCTCCTCCTCCTCCTCCTCCTCCTCCTCCTCCTCCTCCTCCACCTCCTCCCCCCCCCCCCCCCCGTTCCCTCCTCTTCCCCCCACACCACCGTTTCTTACTCCCAGGACGGGCATAGCATACATAAGCAACATGGCAGTGAGGGCAGTGCGCAGGAGAAGGGGCGTGGCGGGCAGGCTACTGGCAGAGGCGGAGGCGCAGGCGAGGCGGTGGGGGTGCAGGGCGGCAGCGCTGCACTGTGACGTACGCAACGAGGGCGCCCTGCAGCTGTACCTGCAGCACGGCTACCGCCTTGTGCGGCCCCCTCTGGGTGCTGTGTGGCCCCAACCCATGGCCTCTGAGGGGCAGGACCTGCAGCTGCTGCTCAAGAGATTGGGGTAGAGGGGGATGGGGAGAGCCGGGTGTGGTTTTTGGGGGTTTGGGTGAAGTTATTGGGGGAATAGGGTGGGGTGGGGATATAGGTTGAAGTGTGTGAGGGGAGAGGGGTGGATGGATGGCGTGTAAATGGAGGAAAGCAGTCTGGCGTGGCGTTGTGGACTGAAAGTGGGTTGGCCTTTTGGCAGGTTGAGAGGTTGGCAGATTTGCTGCATCACAGCAGAGTGAGAGCACTCGCTGGCCCTCTCAGGAGCTGGGCTGGAGAGCCAGCATGCAAGGCCGCTTGGGTGTTGGGTTGAGGAGGCACGGTAAAGAAGGATTCGGTGGACCGGTCGACGGATGAAGAGACAGGTGGCTTGGACGAAGAGTGGGATTACCGTAACATTTCGGGTGTCAGGTCAGGTTTGTTGATGTGATAAAATTATGTGATCAGCACTTGAGTTTGTCTGGTTTTATTATATTATTGTTATTCTATTTGTGCATCTGGTTAGAAAGGCCAGCTGAACAAAGGCTGTCGTTATGATCGTTAGGCTAGCAGATTAGGGGTCATGTGCCCTAGAATATAGCTGTAGGTTATACAGGATGTCAGTCACCTCCTAATAATTTCATGTTTCTGCAACACCACTGATCCTCAATATATGCTTTGTTGCAGATTTGAGCGGGAAGCTCAAATCTGACATCCACATTCCGATTCCACAACGTGGCCCAATGTAGGAACGCCACGCCGCTCCACTTGTTGATGGGTTGCCTTGGCGAGGCGAAATTCCACGACAAACTTCGGTTACCTTATTTTGCGAAAGCCTTTGTTTGGGGCGAAGTAGCGTACACAAGACGACTTGGCTGGAGGAATTACAGAAACCCGAGGCCGTCGCAACATCACCACCGAAAGAATATCCTAGTTTCGTGCTTTGCGCGCTTCTCGTGGCCGCGCCGCATCGACTGACTGTCCCCTTTCCTTCTACCTCCCCCGCGGTCACTTTCGTTCCCTCACTCGCCATGCGTCGCACGCGCCGTCAGATCCGGGAGGTGGTGATAGAGAGGGAGGAGGATGAGGAGGAGCAGAGCACGTCGGAGGAGGAAGAGGAAGAGGAGGAGGAATATGTCGAGGCGCCACGTCCGGCGTCGAACGGGGTTCGTCTAACGGAAGGAACTAATGGCCGCGCTCGTGGCGGTAGTAGGTCCGACGAATCTGAGGATGAGGAGGAGGGCGACGACGAGGAGGAAGATGCGGTTCCGGGGAAGGCGGAGCGACGTGGCGGTCGCAGCAGAGGCGGCGGGGGAGCGGCGGAAGGGGCATCGGCGTCCGGTATGGCGGGGGAAGAAGCGGAGGCGGCGGAAGGCGGAGTCAGGAAAGGGAAATCATCGCGGATCAAGCTGAACCTCAAGAGCAAGGCTTCTGGCGTGTGCAGGGTACGTGGAGGGTGCGTGGAGAGTGCGTGGAGAGTGCGTGGAGATTGCGTGGAGAGTGCGTGAAGGGTAGAGATGGAGGTGATTAAGCGCCCCCTTTTGCTACCCAAGTGCACGCTTGACTGCCCTGGTGAATGAGCGCATGACTTGCCCTTGCCCTTGTCACCGCTCTTTTTTTCCCTTCCTCTCGTGCATCTCATGTCATGTGGTTTTCTTGATTTCTCTGCTCCTGCTACTGCGGTTGTTATCGGGCGGGACCATCATGGCAGGTGTGTGGCAGCAAGGGTCACGAGGCAGGCTTCGTTGGCTCTGTATACATTGACTGTCCCAACCGACCGTGCTTCCTCTGCAAGCTGCCAGGTGCTCCCTCACGCCCCTTCCTCTCTTCGTCCTACCTGATTCCAGCCTACCTTATCGTATGCCTTTATTCCATCCCCTCTTCTTTCCATCCAATTTCAGCGTATGAGAAACCCTATCTAAACCTGGTGCAGGGCACACGACGGCCACGTGTCCGCACCGCGTGGGAGCGGATGGAGGCAGTGTGGCAGTGCAGGGCGGGCGAACACACGAGGGGGTGCTGCACACCGTGCAGCAGCGCCAGATTACGGGCATGCTGCCACGGGTGAGCTCTCATACTGGTCTCGGCATTATCCTCCTCAGCCCGCATTCTCCCGTTCGTTGAACAGCGTTGCTTCTCCTCTTACCCTCTGTCCCTCTCCTCTCACCCCTCGCCTTCCGCCCCACTCCCCCTCCCCTCGCCCCCTCGCAGGCGGCGCGGCACAGGCGGGTGCTACCGAGTGTGGTGGAGGCAGCAGTGATAGCGCTGCACATGAGGCGCATCACAGTGCTGGAGTTCCATGCTGTCAGGGACGACGTGCTGCTGTCCGGAGATAAGGTGCGTGCTGAGAGGAGAGGGACGAGAGACGAGGAACGAGAGACGAGAAACGAGAGACCAGAGCTTACTTCAAAGTCCTCTAGACTCTACCCATTTTTCCTTCCCTTTCCCGTTCCACCTCTCCTCCACGCCCTTCCTCCTCGCGCCGCTCGTCCATCCCGTCCTTTGCTTTCACTGACTCAACCTCGGTTACACACACCAACCATCTCCTCGGGCTCTTCCTCCTCCTCTGCTTTGCTGCTGATGCTTGTCTGCCAACGCTCTATGTCTGTGTGTGGGCGTGGGGGGAAGCAGAGGGGGCACATAGGGCTGTGGAACTACGAGAGGGAGAGGGACACGACAGTGCATCAGAGCGTGCACCAGTATCAGATCAGCGCCCTCAGGTGGGATAAGTCTCACACCTCTGCTCACACTTCTTTCCCCACTCTTTTCACCGTCCTAACACCCACGGCCCTTGTTTACTCATCCCTGTCATCCTCCCTCACTCTTCTTCTCGCTTTCACTCCCACAACTCGTTTTCTCCGCTCCCCCACTTCCACCCCAAACTCCACCTCCCTCTCTTTTACAGATCATTCACCCCCCTCTCCTCCGTTCCTCCCTCGATTCCCTCCCTCTCAACATCCCATCCCCCGCTTTCCTCCTTCAAACCACTCTCTCTCAACGTCTCCTCCCCCTGTCAGGCACCGCCCGACATGCGATGAAGTGGTGTTATCCTCATCGCTGGACGGCAAGGTGTGTCGGGTGGACATAGAAACAGGCCAGGCCACCGTGCTGGCGAATCTCAACCCGCTGGGCTGGCAGGGCGACGAGCGCACCTGGGGGAGCTTCTATGCCATGGACGCCCCTGCACGTGATGGTGGTGCTGTGGTCGTGGCTGGGGACAACTTCGGGTGCATTCATGTGTGAGTGGGGGGGCTGGGCATTTGAGTTGACTTAATAGTCGTCGCAAGTGCTCGGGGGGAAGTTTCTATGCCATGGACGCCCCTGCACGTGAGAGTGCTGTGGTGGTGGCTGGGGATAACTTCGGGTGCATCCACTTGTGAGTGCCCCTCCTCGGATTTTTAGTTCACTTCTGAGTTTGACTGAGGTTCTTACCTTGTTGGGCGTTTGATGTGCGGTCTTGGGAGGCCTTCTATCTATGCCATTGAGCTGGTGCTGCTGGGGCTGGTGGCTGGGAGCTTCTGACGCTGGTGCTGTGCTGTGGTGGTTTGCTGGGGACAGCTTTGGCTGCATTCACGTGTGAGTGCACAGGCACATGGGCATAGTAACGTAAGAGCACATGGGTGTTAGAGCACGGTTTCGTATCACTTTGAGAACCCCACACACACCTGCATCCTGGCCCTGCCCCTCCATCCCCCGCCCTGTCGCCCATCCTCTCGCCACACTTCCCCTTCCCCATCCATGCTCCGCCCTCTGCCCTCATTCGCTCTCCTTCTTCCATCCCGCTTCTCCCCCGTCCGCCCTGCCATTGCCCCGCCACCAGGCTGGACGAGCGGGTGGAGGAGCGCGTGGCGGCGGGTGTGGCGGGGTGCCATGCGGCGCGCACCAAGGTGGTGTCGCTGCATCTCAACCCCGCTGACCCGCACCTGCTGCTCTCTGCTGGCTCCGACCACTGGGTACGGCACTGCTGCTGCAGAGAAGATCATGCTGCTGCTGGGTATCCTGCTCCTACTGCCGCTGTTGTTGTTTCTGGATTTTTCTAACCCCCCAGGCATTTCCTTCTCTAGTGGTGCAGCGGCCTAACACAACCCTCGTTCTCACGCCAACCCGTGCGCTTGTGATTGCCCCCACCAGATGCATCTATGGGATGTGAGACAGCTGTCTCCACAGCACCGCATCGCCTCCATGCAGCACCCACGTGTGGTCAACAGCGCTTACTTCTCTCCTGTGAGTCTGCTCAAGCGCCAAACTGTGTAACTGTTTCTGACTGTCACTGACTGTGACATCCAGAAATCTCATCTAATACATTACCTTTCTTGATTTGTCTGCTCACCCTCTGAATGCTTGTGGCATGCCGTGTGAATGTGTTGTATACGAATGCATCAGATCACGGGAACTCGGATCCTGAGCACGTGTCAGGACAACAGGTTGCGAGTGTGGGACAGTGTGTTCTGCGACCTGCAGCACCCCAGCAGCACCATCGTGCACTCCCACGACTTCAACCGCTACCTCTCGCCCTTCAAGGCGCACTGGGACCCCAAGGTCTGTGCATCTATCAGTTTCATAGACACTTGCTTATGCGCTCTTTGCTCTCGTTGCCCGCCCGTTTCTCACTGTTCGTTTCTGCTTGTTCTGTTCTGTGCTTCGTCCCGTTCACCGTTTTCTCCACCTCTGCCCCTCTCCTCCCTCCTTCCCGCGTTCCCTCCCCCTCTCCCTCATCCACTGTTCCCTTCCCTGCCACATCGTTCCCCTGTCCTTACCACAGGACGATGCAGAGCGCGTGGTGGTGTGTGGGCGGTACATAAGTGACGACTACAATGGAGTCGCCTTGCACCCCATTGACTTCCTGGACGCCTCCTCGGGTGCTCTGCTGGGCTCTGCTGTCGATCCCCACCTCACCACCATCTCCCCCGTCAACCTGCCACACCCCCGCTGCGACCTGCTTGCTACCGGCAGCTCCAGGTGAGGAAGGGGAGAAAGGGAGGGGTGTGGGGGTGAGGAGAGTGAAAGGGGGGTTCCAGGAGGCTCAAAGGCTTGTCTACCTGCCGCACCCCCGCTGTGACCTTTTCGCTACTGGCAGCTCCAGGTGAGGAAGCGGAGGGGAAGGGGGAGAGAGAAGGGGAAGGGAGCGGAGGAAATGGGGCACGGCGAGCGGAAGGAAGGTGGAGTGTTGAGGAGAGGAGGTAGGGAACAGAGGGTGGGGACGATACAACAGGGACTGAGGAAGTTATGATGTGGCTCTACGTTGGATGCGTGCCTTCCTCTGTGCATCAACCATGTCTCTTTCTTTTCTTAACCTGCCTTTCTCTTCGTTTGTGTCTGTGTTTGTGCCTTCGTTCGTGCACACACCCCCTCCATGCACACCATTGCTGCTCCAGATCTATCTACCTGTGGACAGTACCTGAAGATGCAGAGGAGGGCGAAGGGGAGGAAATCAGGGAAGCATCTCAGCAAGGATATGAGAGCACGGGGAGAGCGGGGCAGCAGCAAGCAGTGTCTGCTTCGTTCGGCAACAGAGGCACGATTCGCATGTTCAATGCTGATATATGGGGCAAAGGCAGAGGGAAGGGGCATGCTCTGGGGAATGAGAAGACCCAGGGGAATGCGAAAGTAAGTGGGAAGGGGAAGGGGAGGGGGAAGGGGAAGGGGAAAGCTGGAGAGGAGGAGGAAGATGAGGCGTTGATGACTGCACTTGTGGAGTCTGCTGCTCTGGCTGTTGCTGCTAGGGTGGGGAAGAGTGCGGGCGGGAAGGGAGGGAGGGGAAGAGGGAAGGGAGTGGTGATTCGGGCACAAGAGGCAGATGTGGGGACGGTGAAGGGACGCCGCATGCAGAGTGGACAGCCACTGCTTGCTGCTTGTACGACAGTGGATAGAGGGGAGCGCGAGTTGGAATTGCAGGCAGAGGGTGGTGGGTCAGAGAGTGGAGGGAAGGGTGGGGAGGAAAAGGGGAACAAGGGGAAGGGAAAGGAGGGGAGAGGTGGAGGGAGGAGTGGGGGTGGAGCAGGTAGGGGTGGCGGTAGAGGGAAGAGGAAAGGCAAAGCAAAGGAATGGGATGAGAGTGATGAGGAAGAAGAGGAGACAGCTGATGAAGAAGAGGAAGAGGAGGGTGAGGAAGAAGAGGTGGTTCGCCCAAGTACCAAGCGTTTGAGGTCACGTAGATGAGTTATCATGAAGGCTCAGCTGTTTGTTCCATCAGAAGCGTTAGCAGCCTATGATTGGTTGCTTAGGATTACTTGTTTCCACAAGTACGGTATATGGCAGAAGTAATGAGGAGTGTGCAACATGTTACGTATAAACATTGTGATTCACAAGCCTTGTACTGGTGTTCCCAATGCGTACTGGTATGCATCCTGAAATAAGCATGGCTAGAGAGACAAGCCCTGTGGTTAGCATGCTCCAAGGCACAATCCCTATGGTTAGCCTGTGCGTGCCCTATGCAGGATGTTGCTGAGGTGGGTGGGTCATGTGGGGAGGTGGGCCGCAGGAGGAGAAAGGGGGAGGGGTAACGAAGGGCGTGGGGTAAGGGGCAGGGGGAGGGGGGTGTGGGGGGAGTCCTATGCGGGGGGAGGAGGACGGAGGGGAGATACCATGCCTGAGAGTGTAACTAGTCTAAATCCTATTCAACCTACGGTACTTCCACTCTAGCCTATGTAGCTTCCATGTGGAACTGCTCCGGTTGTCCTGCAAGCAGACGAGAGGAGGCAAGTCACACGAGGATGTATGATACGTTGGGTGCTTGGGCTGGATCGAAAGGTATTGGGTGGATGCAGAAGAGAGTTTGGCCAGCGAGTGTGATGCAGGACAATAAAGATAGGTTGTAGAAACTTACCAAGAACAAAAAGCTCAACTCATGAGCTATTCTCATGCACCCTTGCTGCCAACCCGTTTCTCAGCCCACTAAATTTCATCACATCTGAAGGAGGAAACACGAGAGGAACAGCATGTGAAAGCAAACGAGAGGAGGAGGAGAGGAGAAAAGTTGGATAAAGCCTGGTTAAAGGCATCTGAGGCGAGAAGGGGAGCAAGTAGGAGCAAAGGGGAGGAAAACCAAGACCTTGAGGAAGAGGAAAGAGGGTTGGGTGAGCAGCCTTACCAGGAGAAGAGGACAATGCAATCCAGAGGCCTTGCCTGAAGTCCGTCCCATGCCACCACTACTGCCCTTGCCTGAAGGAGGAAACGCGGGGATAAAGGAGGATATGAGAAGAGAGCAGGTGGCATGAAGGAAACGAAGGTGAGAGAGTGGAAGAAGCCGAGTGCAGATATACAGAGGGGGTGGGGAAGAGATGAGGAACATTCCCCGGAGAGAGCTCAATTGTATCGCCCTTGCTTGATGCCTGTAAGGGGAAAAAAGCTGTCGAGAGTGGGATTTGAACCCACGCCCTTTCGGACTGGAACCTTAATCCAGCGCCTTAGACCAACTCGGCCATCTCGACATGTCTTGAACTCTGCTACTATTAATTGTACACGAAGACTTGTCTTTTAATTAACAAAAATCAGGGAAGAGACAAGGAAGTTAGAGAAGCAGAGATGAAAGGAAAGCGAGAGGGGAAGGAGCAATTTCCGTAGAAAGGGGTGGGGAAGGGATGAGGAACGTACCACGGGAAGAGGGCTCCGTTGATTCGGCCTTGATTGTTACCCCTTGCTACTACTGTACCGCTGCCGCTGCAGCTCCCATGCTGCGCTGTAAGATGCGAGGCAGAAGAGGAGGGGACGACGTGAGAGATGCATCGATGACGAAGACAGGAGAAGAGAGAGAGGGGGGGCGGAGAAGTCTTACCATGCACCATTGAAATGCCGTGTGGCCGAAGCTTGAGAGAGGAAATCAGGATTCCGAAGGTGTTGGCTCAGAAAGAAGCATTCAGTGGAGCAATCTGGAAGATTACGAACGATTGAGAATGGTGCGAAGCGATTCACAAAGGCTGGTGGTAGGGAGGCAACTCCCTAGCGCGGGACTAAAAGCTCGTCGGAATTCCGCCGCCAGTCCCGCGCGCACTACCCGTTCCGCGCGTGACGACCGGAGGAGCAACGCCTAGAATTCGAACACCCAAGCCTCACTTCTTGCCAACGGCTCGCGAATGCTTCCCTTATTTAGGGACAAAAACCCCGCGAGGTCGTGCTTCCGAAACTAACGACTCGTCAGACTATGGTGAGAAACTACCATCAAAATAGGAAGCATCGCCTCCTACCGTGGTACGTCTTCTGTTCAAAACCACAGTGGAGTGGGAAAGAAAAGGCTGGTCTGAGCTCGTGCCTAAAGCTCGTGCCTGGGCTGGTTGCATGCGAGGCGTGAGACCAAACAACATTTCAGAAGATTGAAATGCATGTAGGGCCATGCTGGTGACAGCACATTCGCGCCAACATTCGCGCCAACACTGACGGATGCTGTTGGCAAGCTGTTGCCAGGTGAATCTCGTTGCATACCAAAATCCCTGAGCTCTACGAAAAACAGCTTAGAGAGAGCATCTAAGTAGTCATTAACGCGGATATACAGAGAAAGCTGTGTGTTCCACAAGCTGTGTGGCTTACTGGCGATTTGCATTCCAAGGCGGTCCATTCAAGTATACAGAATGGTTGTGTAAGGTTCTGAGCTAAAGTGAAATTGATGAATTCTCCCATCAAAACGACATCCCCTACGGATCGGATTGGAACAATTGCTTCATTTCAGCAAAGCAGCTTGAAGCATGTCCGTCCTTGCCCTTACTCATGCTTCCAGTGGTGAATCCTACCTTCTTCCGTAATTATCGCAGAGCAAACAATTCAAAAAATGCAGCCTTGAGTATCGCTACAACATCGAGAAAACAACTCCACCATATACATAGGTATATTTCACACAATTGTACATAGAGCATTACGGCATCTATTCTAATTCCGCACGCAACCATACTTGCCACATCACATGCCACACCTCCACTCCCCAACCCAACCCCTCTTCCCTCCTCTTCCCTCCGTGCAATGCATTGGAAGGGCATGGCAGGTGAGGCAGCCACGCTTGCCGCATGGCACACCTCCACTCCCCGGCCCCGCTTCCCCTCTATTTCCTCCCACACTGTCTTCCCTGCCTTCCATCGTACTCCACTGCCCTCCAGATGTTGCCAGCCTGGATAGGGCATGATATCATATGCCACACCATTCCATGCCACCAAATGACATGCCACCATGCCATGCCACCAAATGAGATGCCACACCACCATGCCATGCCACCAAATGACATGCCACACCACCATGCCATGCCACCAAATGACATGCCACACCATGCCATACAATGGCAGATCCCAGTATGTCACGCAGTAACAAGCCACACTGAAACAAGCCACACTGAAACAAGCCACACTGAAACAAGCCACACTGAAACAAGCCACACTGAAACAAGCCACACTGAAACAAGCCACACTGAAACAAGCCACACTGAAACAAGCCACACTGAAACAAGCCACACTGAAACAAGCCACATTGAAACAAGCCACACTGAAACAAGCCACATTGAAACAAGCCACACTGAAACAAGCCACATTGAAACAAGCCACACTGAATCACACCTCTGTGCATTCAACCGCACTGCAGCATGCCATACTGCATCACACCAAACCGTATGATAACACAATGTATCACACCACTTGTATCAAACAACAACTGTATCATACCGTACTGTTATCAGACCCCACTGTATCATACCACACCATATGTTACCGCTGTATCATACTACACTGGAATCACACCAAACTGAACCATACCAGAGTGTATCATCCCAAACTGTACCCAAGGGGTTTCAGACCCATTCCACCTCACTTCACCACTTACCCTGGGGGATTCAGGCCCCCACCATTGCCGCTCACTGCACTTACCCTGGGGGATTCAGGCCCCCACCATTGCCGCTCACTGCACTTACCCTGGGGGATTCAGGCCCCCACCATTGCCGCTCACTGCACTTACCCTGGGGGATTCAGGCCCCCACCATTGCCGCTCACTGCACTTACCCTGGGGGATTCAGCCCCCACCATTGCCGCTCAATGCACTTGCACTCACCCACCCAAGGGGACTCAGCCCCTTTCACTTGCACTCACCCACCCAAGGGGACTCAGCCCCTTTCACTTGCACTCACCCACCCAAGGGGACTCAGCCCCTTTCACTTGCACTCACCCACCCAAGGGGACTCAGCCCCTTTCACTTGCACTCACCCACCCAAGGGGTATCAGGCCCCTTTCCCTTCCACTCACCCACCCAAGGGGTTTCAGGCCCCTTTCCCTTCCACTCACCCACCCAAGGGGTTTCAGGCCCCTTTCCCTTCCACTCACCCACCCAAGGGGTTTCAGGCCCCTTTCCCTTCCACTCACCCACCCAAGGGGTTTCACGCCCCTTTCCCTTCCACTCACCCACCCAAGGGGTTTCAGGCCCCTTTCCCTTCCACTCACCCACCCAAGGGGTTTCAACCCCTTTCCCTTCCCACTCACCCACCCAAGGGGTTTCAGGCCCCTTTCCCTTCCCACTCACCCACCCATGGGGTTTCAACCCCTTTTCCTTCCCACTCACCCACCCAAGGGGTTTCAACCCCTTTCCCTTTCCACTCACCCACCCAAGGGGTTTCAGGCCCCTTTCCCTTCCACTCACCCACCCAAGGGGTTTCAAACCCCTTTCCCTTCCACTCACCCACCCAAGGGGTTTCAGGGCCCTTTCCCTTCCACTCACCCATCCAAGGGGTTTCAGGCCCCTTTCCCTTCCACTCAACCACCCAAGGGGTTTCAAACCCCTTTCCCTTCCACTCACCCACCCAAGGGGTTTCAGGCCCCTTTCCCTTCCACTCACGCACCCAAGGGGTTTCAGGGCCCTTTCCCTTCCACTCACCCACCCAAGGGGATTCAGCCCCCTTCTCCCTCACTCAACCACCCAGCCCATCCCCACCATTACCTGCCAGCAGTAGGAGCAGCAGAGAGCGCACTTTCTTAAGGAAACAGCAACCCCTGAGGCTGAGCGTTGTGGGATGAAGTGTGGTAGTGGAAAATCGCTTCCAGCCCAAGACTCAAATCCCACCCCTGACGTAGCTAGAGCTGACGCGAACCAGAGCCGCCGGCCGGTCGGCTCTGACGGTGCCCATTAAGCCTTAACGTCAGGTTAGTTACTTGAGCACCGAGTGCCGTGCCGCATAGATTCCACCCACCACACCCCGACCACAAGGCACAACCCCAGAGGATGCTGTCCCTAAAGCAGTGAACTCCCCGCTTGCTCCCATGCTCCCCACCACCCACCCCACACTTCACCCCCATGCCTCCTTACCTCTACTTACCTCCACTTACCACAGCCGGGCAGAGCGCCATGATGCTGAGGCTGCTGGGAAGTGGGATGGGGGGGATTAGGGAAGGGCGGGACTCCACTGTGGTCCAGGCAGGGTGCTGGTGGGAGGGAAGGGAAAAGGGAGAGAGGAGGAGGAGTGTGAGAGGGTGGACTCCACTCTCCTGCCCTTGCTCCAGTGCTCCCACCTTCAGCCTGCAGGGGAAAACCGGGTGAGAGAGAGAGGGGGGAACAGTTTAC